GGGGGGAGGGCTGCTGGCCGCTCTTAGTCTCCCCTCTGCAGGCTCAAGGATGCCCTCACATCTGCACAGCCAAACAAAGGCCTTGCACAACTTAACCCATCCTCCTTAGAGGGCAGCTCTGTGACTGCGAGTGTACCAGGCATGCCCCCTGGGCATTCTCTCTCTCTCTCTCTCTCTCTCTCACACACACACACACACACACACACACACACACACATATAGCAAAATGACTACACACCATGCTCTGCCAAAAAGGAAGTTCAGGGACTAAGAAAATATCCCCACCTCATTCTATTGTGAGCAATGTCTTCGTGCCCCCTGTAAACTGGTTGCAGGGCAGCTGCCCAACCGACTTTCCTTCCAGTACCAATGGGCTTGGCCGATGGCTCTCAGATGCTCAGGCTCCCCCAAAGGGGAGAAATGCACTCAAGTTGCAAAGGTCTGGGCAGTGCAGATTTCATATGGGTGTTAGGAAGAATGACCCAATGTTGACCTACTGCTCTGTCTTCCTTGAGGCCCAAAAAGTAAGTGAGCTTATATTACAGATGGAGGAATTGCCTACAGCCTTCAGGTAAACCTGTCAGAAGGGAGTAGGTTACCCTGACCTCATTGCCAAGGGACCACTAGCAAACTGCTCTGGGTCGACACCTCTGGAAGTAGGACAGTGAACACTGAGTGAACTCGTTCGGCAGAAGGGTCAGCTGGGATGGGGCCTTTTTCCTCCCCGGACGTAACCCCTGCCCTGTACTTGCCTGCAGGGGACTGCTGGTTTCTCGCAGCCATTGCTTGCCTGACCCTGAATGAGCGCCTGCTTTTCCGAGTCATACCCCATGATCAGAGTTTCACCGAAAACTACGCGGGGATCTTCCACTTCCAGGTGAGGGAACTAGAGTGTGGTTAAGAGGCCCAGCTGCTGTCCACCCAGCCCCGGTCTCCTGGCCTTGCCTTCCCAGCAGCTTCAGGAAAGGTTCCACCCACATCCTCCCCGCCTTGGCCGTGGGCAGGGACCCCCTTAAGGCCTCAGGCCTGCGAGGAAGCAGTTGTTTATCTCTGCCCCCTGAGCCTGTCTCCCCCTGCCCCCCACCTTCCGCTGTGCCCCAGAAAGGCAGGAAGACATCCTGTTTGCTGGCCTGTGGGTCTATTTTTGCCTCTCCGGCTGGTTGGCTGCTACGCTATTACCCACATCCCTTCTCAAGTAGGTCCCAAGCTACTAGCAATGGGAATTCATAAGGCCCTTTGGTTCACGAAGGAAACAACGGGCGCCCTGCGTGATTATGGCTCCTTTTCTTGTTGCCCTTTAAGGCGGGTCTATACGGCCTCTCGCACTCCCCTTTTCTAGGACCTGGAAGAAAAGTCTGGTCAATCTGGGGACCAGGCTTCTGGTTCGGCCCCTAAATGAGTCTTTGGTTTCCAGACGCAATTAAACCACTGGAAATTTTCTAGATCCAAATTGTCCTGTCAGAGAGCCAAATCCTGGTGCTGGCCCAGCACTGAAGTGATTCCACATGTGGGGATCCAGCAGAGGCTGGGATTCTGAGGCATCGATCTGTTTCCAGCCCTGGAAGCTCCTAATGTCCTGGAACTGACCTGAATCATCACTTGGTGTACCTGCTGATCTTGTACCTCAGCACTGAAGGCCTCAGAAAAGGTCCCTGATCAGGTTCAGGTTCACGGTCCTGCTGCCCCCTGGAGCATGGGTAAGGCAGCCAGGTCCTCATTTTTGTTTCTCTCCTGGGCCATCAAGCTACTAAGTATCCCTCTGATATTTCAAGGGTCTTATGCCTCGAGGGTCATATATATAAAGACCAGATAGATTTTTGCCCTCTTTTCAATAAGGGAGAAAATGTCATTAGAAAGAGATTAAACCGTATTTGGCCTTCTTCAGTTAAAACTGATTTGTTCAAGAAAGAACAACATCCAGGGGCGCCTGGGTGGTTCAGTCGGTTAAGCAGCCGACTCTTGATTTTGGCTCAGGTCATGATCTCAGGGCCGTGAGATTGAGCCCCATGTCGGTCTCTTCGCTCAGTGTGGAGTCTGCTTCAGATTCTCTCCCTCTCCATCCAGCTCATGCTCTATCTCAAATAAATAAATCAAACCTTTAAAAAAGAAGAGAGAGGGGCGCCTGGGTGGCTCAGTTGGTTAAGCGACTGCCTTCGGCTCAGGTCATGATCCTGGAGTCCCGGGATCGAGTCCCGCATCGGGCTCCCTG